AACAACAACAACAAGGATGAGGAAAAATTTAAGAGATGGAAAACAAATAGAGTTAATCCTTGATTCAAGAAAATTTCTGTAGAATCAAAGTAGCTTTTTCTTCTTCAACAATATTAAAATATTATGTAGGTAAATTGACTATATAATGTAAAAATTCTAGGATAAAACCAATTTTATTTGGAATAATATATTGAGATTTAACCTGTAAAACTAGATTATTTTTTTTTCTTTGTAGAGGCTTATTTTTGTAAATCAAGCTTTCCCATTTTCCTTTAGGGGACCTCACCAGAGAAAATTAATATTTCATTTTCCTAGCTCAATTGATATTTTTAGGAGGCTGAGTGTTAGTTGTCATACTGAGGTTTATATTCCCTTTTCACTTTATAATTTTTCTTATCCTGAAAGATGTACTTTAAGGGAATTGGCAAGTTAAAACCTATTTTTAAGTTTATAACAAACTCTTGTGACAAAACATTAGTACTAAAAGTATCTATTATATAAAATTATTTTAATTCAGCTTAACAAAACTGCTGAGGAATGTTATCTATATTGGCCAACAGTAGTCACTACATATTTCAATCATGTGATGAAAAAAACCATTAACACATTTGACACATCACTGTCACAGTGTTTAGCATCATAACAAACACGAGTTACCTCTGTACAGCAAATGGACAGACCAGTGCTATACCACTTAGAAGAAGGTTTGACCAAAAACAATTAAAACCAGGCCTGTGGGCTACAGATTAAAATCACCCACCTTTGGCTTGGAAGCATCACTTTCTGTCCACTAGACCAACAGAGCTCTCTCTATGTTGTTGTTGTTAAGTTGTAGACAACTCATAGTGACCCTATGAATGAAAGAGTGTTTGGTGGAGCTCCCCAATTAAAACAAGTTTGGAAGCAAGAGGGGCATCCACATCCAAAATGGCTTACCTCCAGAAACTCGATGAACTTGGAGAAACAATGAAAGTTATACAAGTGTTCAGGTCTTTTGTTCATAGGGTCACTATGAAAAAAACTACATGATATTGTTATGAAAAAGTAAACTCATTTTTCTCTGTTACATATGATAGATCATTCAAACTTCACACACTTAGATATACGTAGTCATCCACGGATGAAAACAATACAAGAAACTTTATTAAATTTAGATTTTTTAAAAAGCACTGACTTCTTGGATACATGACTACAAGAAGAAATGTGTCTGACCTCATTCCTGCATTATTTTTGCAGGATTTTCTTAGTACTTAATAGTTATTTTAAATGTCTACAACTACTTAAAATATTCTAATAGTTTACTATTTCATAGACCTACATGTTTTTTCCAAGTTCCTAGTGCTTGCTCATGCTCATTTTGAAGATTAAGGAACTTTTCTTCATTTTCTCTTACATTCTCCCTTTGCAGCTCATTATCTCTCTCAAGGATCTGCAATAAAATTAATTATCCAAAAAATAATCAATACCACATTAATGAATTTTGATGTGTTTTATGTTGCTTGGACCTTTGCTTTTAACATGCTGAAAGTACCATACAGATCAGTGATAATGTGTTATCTCAACAATAATTTTCATAAATTAACAGAAAGGTGCTTATAGTTTAGCTAACAGGAAACAGGGGGAGGTTATGAAAAAGAAATGGCTATAAACGGGTATAAAAACATTACCATTATTCAGTTTCACTGCATAAGTTTTAATGTACTGAAAAAGTAATATAAAGTACAGCTCTGAAAAATATGAAATGTAGCATAATCCAGATTTGCCTTACTAAAACAATTAACTACTACAGAACATTTTTAAGATCTATTTATTCTAGAAATTAAGTGTCTAAAAGGCTTTTAAATAGGATTTTAAAGTCTAATTAAAATTTTTTTAGTAAAACTTATTTACCATATTAACACTACATCATTAAATTAATATAATCACATTTCTCCCTAAAAAGCCTTTAAAGATTAAAAATACTACCAATCATTTTCCAAGGTAACTTTTAAATATTATATCAGTGTCACCAATATTACGGGATTTCTTAAATGTCTTTATCTAAAACAAGCAAACTTTATGAATTAGAGAAAACTCTTACCTACATGCCCGATACATCTGGATTTCAAAGTTCATTTTATTATTATTATTAAAGGTACATATACTCATGGCAAAAATGCTGTCATAAAAAATTCCATCTAGCAGTTTCTTTTTTATTTTCCAGAAATTATCTCTAAGCATGCAAGTATATAAAGTATATTTTTGAAAATATGGGTAACACTTTATTATGTTAAACTGTCCTATACTCTGCTTTAAAGAGAAAACAAAAAAACTAATATGTATTATTTTCTATGTTATTACATGGAGATCTATCTCATTTTAAAGTACACTTAATATACCAATTTAGAGTCCTTAATTACATCAATAACATCTGTAAGATACAAATTTGAAAAGTTATAGCAATTAATCTAATACAAAGCACTTGGCTGAAAGCAAAGAGTATAAGAGGAATGCCTGTGTTTGATTGTGCAAAGGTATTTGACTGTGTGGATCACAATAAATTGTGGCTAAGCTTGAGAAAAATGGGAAACCCAGAACACTTTATTGTATTTATGTGAAACCTATACTTGGACCAGGAAGTAGTCCTCTGAACAGAGCAAGGAAACACTGCATGGTTCAAAATCAGCAAAAAAGTACAACAGTGATGTGTCCTTTTCAATCTATATGCAGAACAGATCATTCATGAGGCTGGGCTTTATGAGGAGGAAAGCAGCATCAGAAATGAAGGAAGAATCACCAACAACCTATGTTATGCAGATGAAAACAACCTTGTTTGTTAAAATTGAGGAGGACCTGAAGGGCTTGCTGCAGAAAGTCAAGGACTGTAGTCTTCAATATGGATTGAAACCAAATATCAAGAAAACAAAGATTCTCACCACAGGGCCAGGTGGTGATTGATGCAGAAGAGAGTGAGGTTATTAACAACTTGCTCAGCTCCATAATCAACATTGTTGGCAACGGCAGTGAGGAAATCAAAAGATGAAATGCACTGGAAAAATCTGCTGTCATGGATCTCTCCAGAGTACTGAGAATCAACAATGCCAGTCTAGAGACTAAGGTGCACCTGATGCAGGCCATGGTATTTGCAATGACTTGCTATGCATTAGAGAGCTGGACAATGACTAAGGATGACAAAGAAGAATCAATGCTTTGAGCTATGGTGCTGGAGAAGAGTATTGAACATACCAAGTATGGCCAAGAGTATAAACAGGTCTTATTTAGAGAGGGTGAAACCAAGTTTCTCCTTGGATTCTAGGATTTTGAAGCTCTGTCTCACATACTTTGGGCACAGAGCCAGGAGGGATTGGTCCTTGGAGAAGGACATCATGTCCAGAAGGGTGAAGGAACAGCGTAGGGAAGGAAGAGGAGGAAGACCTTGGATGAAATGGATGGAAACAGTAACTAGGGTAATGGAGATAGGTGTGTCAGAGCCAGGGAGACTTGCTCAGGATATGGAAAGCTTCAGAGCTGTTGTACATAGTGTTGCTATCAGTCACAGGCAATTCAATAGCACATAACAACAAGAAGATTCTGTTTTCACAAAGAAAATGCTCTTTCAGGGTATTCAGTGAATACTTATGTTTCTTTATTTCTGTTACTTCAGAGTAAGAATTTATATAAAAGATATATATCCTTTTTAACTTCCAGGTAGAAATAATAATAGGGAAATTTCTGAATATTTACTTTGGTATAAGATTATACATATTTATACTTTAAGTATATTAATATTAATTAATTAAATGTATTCTAATATGTTTATAATGTACAAATGTCATACTGTAGTTTAAAAGATACACAAATAAAAGTTCAGTGGCAATATGGAAGAATATACCACAATATTGATCTTTGTGTTGCTGTCAAGTCAGTTCTAATCCATGAATACAGCAGAACTCTGAAAATAGGTTTTCAAAGTTTCCAATCACAAAGCTTGTCTTCTGTGGCATCTCTAGGTGAGTCTGAACCATGAATCTTTCAATTAGTAATTGACAGTTTAAAATATGTGTCACCTAAGGATTCTGCACCTATCTTGTTATGTGTCCTCAAGTCGCCTATGACTCATAGCGACCCTATGGACAACAGCTCTGACGCCTGCCCTGTTCTCAACCCGTCTTGATTCTGACACCCTCACTGCCCTAGTTACTGTATCAATCCATCTCATCCAGGATCTTTCCCTCCTGTGCTCTCCCTCCACCCTTCTGAGCATGATACCCTTCTCCAACGACCAGTCCTCCTAGCCATGCACCTGTCTTAGTAATAGTAAGTTACTAAGACTGAAGATCTGGTGGTGTTGCGGTTGTATCCTTTCTCCTTATCTATTTAATCTATGAGCTGAGCAAATTATTCAAGAAGCTAGAGTCTATAAAGAGGAATGTGGCATTGGGATTGGAGGAAGATTTATCAATTACCTTTGTTATGCAGATGATACAACTTTGCTGAAAATGAGAAGAACTTGAAGTGCTTGCTGCAGAAGATCAAAGATTGCAGCCTCCAATATGGACTGCATCTCAATGTCAAGAAAACAAAAATCCTCATCACTGGAGTGATAAGCAATATCATGAGACTCGGAGAAAAGATTGAGACTCTCAATTACTTCATTTTACTTGGACCCACAATCAGTACACTTGGTTCCAACAGCTAGGAGAATGTCTGGGAAAGTCTGTAGTCAGGGTTCTCTCCAAATTATTGAGAAGCAATGTTTCAAGGATTAAGGTGTGCCATAATGTTCATGGTTCAGACCATGATCTTTTGAATCATTTGATATGCATCTGAGTGCTAGACAATGACTATGATGACAGAAGAAGAGTTGATGCCTTTGAACTGTGGTGTTAAAGAAGAATGCTGAATATCCCATGGCTGCCAAAAACAAACATATGTCTTGGAGAAAGTGTAGCCAGAGTGTTCCTTATAAGCAAAGATGATGAAGCTTTGTATCACATATTTTGGGTATGTTGCTGGGAAAGATTACTCTTTGGAGATGTACATCATGCTTTGGGAGGTAGAGAGGTTGCAAAAGAGAGGAAGATCCTCAACCTGGTGGACTTACATAGTGACTGCAGCAATGGGCTTGAGTGTATCACAGACTGTAAGGATGGCACAGGATAGGAAAGGATTCAGAGATGTTACTTATAGGGTCACTATGAGTCATACTCAACTCAATGGCACCTAACTACAACATATCCTATAGTGCCTTTTTCTGAGTCTCATGGCTTTCATAACCTGGTAGAAAAACTTTTCTATAGCTTCTTGGTCAGGATTAGAAAAGATTCAACAAGTATCTGCATTCTGTAGATGATATAATCTTGTTCACTGAAAGTAAGAACTTGAAGCACTCACTACCAAGGACTACAGCCTTCAATATAGAGTATATATCAACATCAAGAAAATAAAAACTTCCACCACTAGGCCAGTGAATAATCAACATCATGATACATAGATGATAGATATAGATAGATAGATAGATAGATAGATAGATAGATAGATAGATAGATAGATAGATAGACAGACAGACAGACAGACAGACAGACATAAGATTGAAGTTGTCAACAGTTTCATCCTACTTGGATCCATAATCAATACCTTTGGGAGACCAGGCTGCTCCTTGGAGGCAAGGATTCTGAAGCTTTGTCTGACATACTTTGGACATGTTACTAGGAGGGACTGGTCATTGGAGAGGGACATCATTCTTGAGAGGGTGGAGGGACAGCACAGCAGAGGAAGACCCTCAATGAGATGGACTGATTCAGTCACTGGGGCAGTGAGGGTAGGTGTGTCAGAGACAATAAGATTGGTACAGGATATAGCACGGTTTAGGGCTCTTGTACACAGGGTCACTATGAGTTGCAAGTAAATTGACGGCACATAACAACATAACAACAACCAGCAGTTAAGAAATCAAAAGACAAGTAGCATTGGAAAAGAACAAGGCTGAAGGAACTGCTGAAGGGACTTTCCAGAATACTAAAGAGCAATAATGCAGATGCTCTGATGGAGAAGGAGGGGTAATCTCCTCCTGTACAAGTCAGAAGTGATTTGATGGTACACACACACACAAAATAATAAAATTTTTTAAAAGAGCAACAATGTCAGTTTAAAGACTATAATAGTCTTGATCCAATCCAGTTTCCTCAGTTGCTTCTTTTGCTTCTGAAAGCTGGATAACACTAAGGATGACAGAAGAATTACTGATACTATTTAACAGAGGTGTTGGAGAAGATTACTGAATATCTCATTGACTACTAAAAGAACAATCAGGTCCATCTTAGAGAAAGTGAAACAGGGGTGCTCCTTGAAGGTAAGGTAGTGTTAACTTCATCTCATATACTTTGAATATGTCAGGAGGGCCTAGTCCTTGCAGAAGGACATCAGGCTTGGAAAGGCCGAGAGACAGTA